AAGAACTGCAGAGTACCGGTCTTTGTGCACTGCACTTCGCGTTATTGAAAGAAGCATGCACACCAAGTTTGAAGTCAATCAGACTTATAGTGACTGAGTTATGCTCCGGACAAGCTTTAGGGGACGCCGACGCCGACAACGCCGCAGCCGACACAGACGCCGCCGACACCGCCGACAAAAGTAACCCCTATATGTCGCCTTTTGAAGGCGACACAATAAAGGAGTGATTGGGTAGATATACTACATTTGGAATTGATTTTCTGAAAACTCAAGAAAAACTCAAACAATTTATACAATTAACTTCACAACTCTAAAAGACCAACCTGAGAGTCAAACTTTCAAATATAGGATTGAGTGGCAAATCAAAGGCTCTTGATACAATGACAGCCCTGTCATACATTCCAGATTTCACCAACAACCCAACCATCTCATCAGCCCCTGGTGTACCACCTATATAAAATAAAGTATCCTATTTCGATAAACACTAAATATTCTAGCAGTTTTGTCAGTTTTTCACTTATAATGTATAAATTTGTATAATAAGTACATTGTAGTTTCAAGTGCTACAGTAATCATTGTAAACAACTAATGAATTGTAAATAGCATTATGAGAAGCATTTGATAAAAAATACACTGTTAAGCTGAAAATTTGCAATCTAAAGAACATATAAGGACATCTTTTATAAAAATCTAAGTTCTCTACACAATATTTCAAAACAATAAAATGACTAACATACTTGGCAATATAGATTTCCAATGGTGAATATTGATAACCATGCATTACATAACAGTTAACAAACGTGTATTCACAGGATTATTTTACTGTATCACCCAACAGTTACCCAACCTGCATTCCTGGATTGTGTATCAGTACTGTTTCTCTTTCATATAGACATTCAAAATCATGTAAAACAATGGCTGTGTGCATATGGTATTAGACATAGTGTTATCAACCAATCCCCTTGTAGTCATATTGACACAGGAAAGCTACATAATTCAAGGTCTATTGACTGACTTATTCCTATATCTAATGAGTTAATAAAGTATAAGTTAGACTTGTTATGGCCTTAAGAAAATTAATACATACCTGCAGATAGGGAAGGATCATTGTCTTTGACTAGGAGACGTAGACGAGCGTCCACTAACATAAATTCCTTCTCTATATCGTGTAATTCGAGGATCTCAAAGTTTGATGCTGAAATATTGACAATAATATCTGAGCTCTGTTTACTATTATAATGATTAATTCACATAGTTTGAAATCATTACGTTTGACATTGAATTAGATGCATAAGAGGTAAACCATAATCTAAGAACAAAAATAAAAGAAAATAAGAATAAAACATTGGAAAATTTACCTGAATTAACCACCTCCTCTCCCTCCAGATCATGTTTACTGGTAGGTGACCTCATATAATCTCCTGCTGCCATCTGCAGGAAAACGATCACAATATGAATAGTGTATGTGTATAATATGAAGTGTAAGAATTTTATGACACACTCATGAAAGTCAGACAATTCTGTATCAATTGTTTTACAACTATTAATAATATAGATATATAGCATGAAGAAAATGCAACGGCCGCTGTGATGTAGTGGTTAGCATACTGGACAGGTAATCCAGAGACCCCAGAGTTCAAGTCGCGGCGTGCTGATTTTTCATGTGATTTACATATGTGTGTGTCTTACTTTACAAAAACCTAAACTTGTTTATTGTAAATGTTTACCTCCGATAAGTTTATGGTAATGAATTAATCATATGTTCCTTTTATGTTTAACAAAAAACAAACAAAAACTTTTCATATCTTACAGTTCTATATCAATTATGTACCAATATCTCCTAATGAACTACAAAAAAAATCTTGTACATTCACTTCTGTATATGTAAATAGTGATACTGAGTCAGTCATTAACTTCACAGAATTTATCCAAGATAATTTAAATAATATTTTCTTTTTAAATTAACATGGATACAATTTGATATTTTCAATGTATAAGGACTATAACTTACATTAGCTTTAGTGGCTAGCATTGGTTTAATAATCCAGGAGTACTCCGGTTTAACAAGTCTAAGTGCATTAAGTGCAGCAAGGTAACACTGAGCTTGTCTCTGTAGGCCCGCCTTCCCGGGTACTTCCCGCCCTAGTCTCATACCATGCTCATACATTACACTACCAGCTGTAAAACAGATAATATAACATACAAAATAGTCTGTATTTTCTAAACATAAAATTTGGCCACAATACATGGTAAAGATGTATTAGGCTTTACCATTACCTTAAAAGATTTCCGAACTATTATGAAATGGATACAAAAATATATAATTTGATAAGAACATTGTAATACACATGTAGTCAGGTTAGGGAAAAAAAATTGCAAAAACCAAGAGCCTTAAAGTAACAGTTCCGTTTTTTAAAAAAAAAATTGACAAAATTATAGTCAAAAGAAAAGGATGCCAGAAGCATTGCTTTATATTCATCTAGAGTGAATATGTCATGACAAAATGATCGATATACTTACCTTTTCTGTAGTTGTTTCTAAAGATATGAAATGCATATAGTAGATCATAGTAGTTGTGTGTTGTAAGATCCATACAGCGTGCCCTACTTTCGAGTATATTCTCTACCTGTAATAGTTAATTAAATATCGTTAATCACATATTCTTTATAAGCCTCTGCAAAAATAACTGTAAAATTTGTCAGGCAATTATTGGTCAGGCAAAAGTGTTGCTTTTTTTTGCATATAAACGAAGATTTGTCAGCTTACCTTTCATACATAATGTAAAAGTTATAAATGATCTTTATTATGTATAATTCTTGTTTGTATTTTTGTAACAATATATCAGATAAACAGATTAAACCAAATACCATAACAAATGTGTCCTAGACTTATTATATTAAGATTCATGCAACATAAATTTGTTCAAAGTTATTTATCTAATCTTTTTTTTTTTTTGTATATTTTTTTCCTGCTTTAGGTAATATAGATGCAGCTAAAAGATGACATGGTCACTGTCCAGCTTTACTTGTGGAGGTAGACCAAGGGTGGACATCATACAGTATTTCAGGAACAAACAACCACCTATTTTAAACCAATCATCTTTTGTTATCAGAAACCTTAAACAAACAACACACACTTGTTCACATTAATGTCTTCAACCAATTCTTAGCAAAATGAAACAAAATATTGATCATTTTCAATTTGTAACAGTAACAGAAATATTGATCATTTTCAATTTATAACAGTAACAAAAATATTGCTCATTTTCAACTTGTAACAGTAACAAGGTTAAATAAGTTAAGCCAAGATTTTCTTTTCTATCCTCAATGCTCGACTTTTCCTTATATGCAATGTTCCAAAATAAGAGTATATCTTACAATGTTTCTAAAATATGAGGATAGCATTTCCAACAAGTAAAAATATATTTTTATCACATACACAACTAAGTCCATGTGTACACGTATATTTATAAGGATACATCGTGTAAATTATACCTCATCTTCTAGATCTATGTACGGGAAGTCAACCAGAGATTGTAGATCCCCGCGGTCACACAGACTAATGAGAAGTTGACGTAGACAATCTTTACGTCTACTCGGATCAGGGTTCTCTATCATGGCCTTGTATGCTTCAGAATTGTGCCCGAGCTCTAGTTGGTACTTGAAAACTTTCGACCATAATGTCGGCTAAAATAACATAAATGTCAATCATATAATTAATTATTTGTTGAAATTAGTAATCAGTAAAATGTATATTGAAAATATCTTACTAAGTAATCAAACGTCTGATATGATGAATTATCATAACAGATCATTCTGATAAGGAGCTATCAATGGCAAAATTTTGGGACTTAAATATAAATAAACTTAAATGTGTACATTTGTAATTACAATAAGTTTATTATAACTATCTTGTTATATACAAATATATTCCAATAAACTTAACACAAAAGTATGATGCTGAGATCAAATAATCCATAAATCTAAAGCCTGAATAAACAACCTGATGTGGTCATCACAACCACTCTATAAGAAATAGTTTGAAACAAAATATTTACTGAAGATTTTCTCTCCACAATGAAACAAAGATGTTTTATAATCAGGTATCATATTATAGAAATACACACCAAATTTGGATCATCCTCATCCGCCACACTAATAGCTTCATTAGCAAGGGAGATAACCACATCAGGGGCAGATATCTCTTCAAATTGTCGAATAACCTATAAAACAACAAATACATATTAACATTTTCCAAACAGTTTTTGAAATGTAGGAACCCAATAAGATTTCTTTTTCTTAGTTTTTAAGTTACAGTAACACTGTTAAGGGCATTTTTAACGTCCCTCTGTGCTTTGAATTATTTCAGGTATGGCTGAAACAGTAGTAGAACCAGTAACCTTTGTTAGACAACAAAGATATTAATTATGTAGTTCTAACCTGAACCTAATCAAACCAAGTGAGAGACCTCAATACTTAAGCTGTGGATAGCTCCTGTATTCATTTCAAAAACAGAAGATAAATCAAGTAACTTAACACATTAAGTTAAAGAAATGTAGATAATACTTTGAACACAAAAGCTTTTTTTGATTATTTCTTCTATGCTTGGCTTTTACTTAGTCTAAAACCATTAAGACCAAAAATGTCAGAAACATTATCCTTCTGTTCAAATGACTCATAAAATATAACTTTCTGCTTGATGACAAGAATATCAATTAACAAATGAATTTTAGATTTTTTCTTCAAATTACTGTCATAAAATCTATTCTTAACATCCACAGAAAATAAGTACAGTTTGAATCTGTATATGACAACAGTAGATCTTACCTTGAGATAAAACAGGACTTCTAGTTTTCTAACTTGTGTCTCCTCGGACTGTAACAATCTGTCTCTAAGGAAACTTTCATTAGGTAATCCCTCTCTAGCTGTATTAAAACAATGTGCTGCTTTCACTGGCTCACTACAATAACACAGTCAAATTAAATATAATAAAATTATTAAAACAAATGCATTTTCCAATATGTATTTTTTTTCATGTGAAACTGCTTGTTTGAAAATGTTGTGTTTTTGTTTTTCAGTAATCAAGATTATCTGCAAGCGAATCAAATTGTTTGTAGACAAAGTAAAGAATAGCTTTGAATAGGGGGATATTTAATTCTTATCATGCTTAATATCTTAAATCGGCTCATCCATCTTTCAACATGTACATAGAGAATACATGGTTGATGTCGGGATGGAGAAGGTTTATCCGGTGAGCAAGAAAGTGTATCTTGGCGAGCTTTAGCGAGGATAAATCAGGATAAAAAACTATTCATCTTTTTTTCTTTTTTTTTTCATAGGAAAATTCAAAATAACCACTGACTGAATAGCAAACAGTAGCAACCATGATCAGATGACACCATTGTGCTGGCTGAAGTTGGTCTCACTGGTTGCATGGTTAAATTAAGTTGCCACGAACAGGCTATGGGTTAAAGTATTGTTACAGTTTCGAAGATCAAATATCAATTAAATATCACGTAGCGCAAACAACTGGTACTCAACATTTATGGCAAAAATTGTTCTGGTACCAAACACTACAAATGATTTTCACATAGCAATTATTACCTCCCCAGGCCAGCATTACAGGTATACCTAAGATAAATCTCTCATAATTCCATCATTTTCATGTAAAACTGATAAAATATTCCTTCATATGTATAAAAGAATTTGACAATTTTCCTCGATCTGCTGTTTATACTGATTTAAAAAAATTGCTTTGTATAGAAAATTGACCACCAAAATGGCTGCCACTTGAGGCAAGGGAGGTAAACATTGTACAAATCAGGAACTAGATCTATATCGCCAAAATGAATGCTAATAAACATTTGCCTTAGAATAAGAATATTGATCATATGCAGTAATTTAGCCATGAAATGGGGAAAAAATACAAAAAATAAATTTTTGAAAGTGCTTACTCGAAGTGTAGATAACAGAGTGCCTGCATGAAGCATCTTGAGGCACAGTTAAACTCACACCAATGTTGTAGTAGATTGTTATAGTCCTGTAGTGGTAGATACTGACAATGACTAGCCAAAAACTCCGCAAATACAAACTGCTCACTCAGAGGCCAGCTTTTTACATAATTAAGGAATTGTTTTTCGTATGTTACTCTAGGTATCAAATATAAACTTTGTGTGGCGGCATGGCCAAGTGGTTAACACATTGGACTAGTAATCTAAGGATTGCTGGACTTGTGTGTGTTCAAACCCAGTCAGGGGCAAGCTGTTGTTTCCTTGAGTAAGAAACTTTGTTGTTCCTTTTAATAAGAAGAGGACTTTTTCTGACAGAGCTTTTAGCACGATAGGACCAAAATTGTGGAATGAACTACCTATTAATATGAGAAAATGTGAATCTGTTGAAATTTTCAAAAGACAACTGAAATCATTTTACTTCAAGGACTTTTTTGCACTTTTTTAAGTGACGCTGAAGGCATTGTCTGTTCCAAATTGTTTTGTGCATGTTTGTATATTTCTAGTGTTTTTATTATTTTCATTGTATAATAATATAATAAAGTCTAGCCCATGTGTTATCATGTGCAGGGGTGCAGGGTTGTAGATTGTTACATGTTGGTGGGGATTGACCAAATCACTGTGACCGTCGCACTGCTGGGAGTATTGTGTATGGTAGCACTGGGAGTAGCACATATAAGGTATATAGCTGTACAACGCCATTGAATATGTATTCGATATGTAGAAATAGGCGTTAAATCAAGTTTTCAAGTTTCAAACTTTACACTAATTGCCTAGTACTAGGAACAGATTTGAGAGTGTTTCAAAAAGCTTATAGCTTCCAACACAATCATACTAAAATAATTTGTATAAACTAAATATAAACTATAAAACCATCTTTAACTGTTATGTATAGTTATGACCTACTAATAATTCAACTGATCTGAAAGTCCATAACTTGCACCAGTAAAATACATACAATTTTGATTTGAAAAGAAGTGCATTGCTGCTTTTTATACAGATAATGTGGAAACCATACTTAGTGGTGTCTTACTTTTATAATACTCTACTTTCATCATTGAATATTGGGTTTGATAGAACATTGTTTGTCCAACTTGAGAATAGCAGATGCCATATAAGTACTCATATATAAAGGATACATTAGTGAAGCGATACATTTGACAATCTTCAGTAGACCAGAGGACCATAATGCACCAGAATCTTCATCTAGAAATGATGTAGTTGACAGACTGGTCCTCATTTTGTCTCCTCCAGGTCCATGTATAAATAGTTCCATTAGACTGGCACCACTATGCTCTGTAAAAAAAGTACCAGTCACAATTTTATAATTCATTATGTACAAAATAAAAACACAGGAGAAATTCATTGTCTAATATGCATACTTAACATACCCTCACAAAAAAGTTTCTGTTTTACATTTCATGAGAAGCAGCCACTTAGTGGTTTAGGTCAAGGGAGAAAGTATCAATTTAAATCAATTCAATTATTAAAGAACTAACAAACTGGACAGCCAACTTTATAAAGCCAGGCAAGATTCCAGGAAAGTATAAACTGGACAGACTCGTTACCAGTGGTACAAGTTCATGCCCATTGCAACAAGCTTTGAAAATAGACTGACTCACCTATACAAGCATGCCCATTGCACAAGTTTAGAATATAGATAGACTCACCTATCTTCTGTATAAGGGCAGGACCAACATTCTGTCCTCCAATCATTGACTCTGAGATATCCAGAGATGATAACTGTCTGATATTTGATTCCCTAAATATATGTTAAAAATATTACATTTAAAAATGACAATATAAAATGATATACATTGTAGTTCCTTTGCCTATACTTTATACAGTAATTACATTTACAATAGTATTTATTTTGAAGTAATGTTTCAATGCAATTCAATAGTTTTATATTATCTGCTGAAGAAATTTGAAAAGAAAAGAAAAGAATTTAAGTGTGTAAAATTAAGATACTGCTCGAAGATGTTAATTTTGCAAAACATACTTATATTTTTCCTAAATTTTCAATTAACTAATAAATATTTATTATGATGAAATCGATAACATTGTTGCTAAAAATCTTCAAATCAATTTTCATCATTATTACATATTTCTTTTATGATCAATGCAGTGCTATTGGTGCTATGACAGACTATATAGTACTATAATTAGGAAAACAGTCTTCTTACAATGAGTTAGCCTGAGTTGATACAGCCAGGGTTTGAGCTGCCCACTTGACAACAAGGTAAGATCTGAGCAGGTTTGCAGTATATGGTAACAAGTCATTCTGTATGGTTGCTACTGACTGTGTATCTATATTAGCCTATCATACAAAATATCATCATAAAATATGGTTGCTGGTGGCAACACAATCTACATATGTGGCTAGTGCAGTACAAGATCATGCACTATTTGCCATTCAGACAGTTTATATTTTGAAAATCGTCAGAAAAAAAAGATGAATGGTTTTGTCCAGATTGAAGTCAGTTTATATTTTGAAAATTTTCCCCTAAAAATGATAAATGGTTTTGTCAAAATTGAAAGATGGACAAATCCTCTGATGATAATTAGTATGTACCGGTACAGTAATAATGGAACAAGTAAACTTATAAAGCTTGAGATAACATTTGTACCATTATATACGAGAAATACATTACAAGTTATATGACCTATTTGCTCATGTTATATATGCAAACAACCATTTATTCTGCACAACAAGACCTGTCAAAAATCCCTTACAATTAATAATATTTATCATTTCAAAACAAACATGGTATTATGACCCAACACCCCTAAGTTTGGGCATAATAAAAATCTAATGTAACACATAACAATAAGCTGGTTGGTCAATCCAGGTAAATAACAAAATGAATCAGGTCTATAATGTCCTTGGTAGAATAATTTGTTTTGTTTTGTTTTATGGCTCACCAACAAAATTCAGGTCATATGGTGCTGAAAAAGGAAAGATGATTTTGGCTAACCCCGGGTGATAACAACATCAAGGGTCAAAACCACCTCACCTGCTGGAGCTAAAAAAGTACAGTTTCAAGTAACTCAAATCTATTTAGTTGACTCATATGATCATGCAGCTTTAAATGGTGACTGCAATTCTGATGCCTCAACCAATAAAGCAAACCCCTCAGCCACAATGGTTATTTCAGGCTTTGTTATTATAGAATGAATGGCAATGGACATGAATTTGATACCCATGATGGATAAACATGTTATGTTCCTGAATCTCAAACAATCTAGCTTGATTTCCAATGGTATAATATTCTACTTAATGAGCAAATAGGGAGACATTAGCATGAATAAAGCAATGGATGAGAAAATACAACCTGATTTCCTATTCTCAAAGCAGCAAGTAGAAGAAGATACAGATCTCGTAATAACTGGAATCTTGTCAGGGAGAATTGTTCTACACACAATGTCAGTATGTCACAGCCAACCTTGCTTGTAAATAATTTGTTAAGGTTCAAATGACGTGTCATGTTAATATCTGAAATCCAAAACACAAAAATTAATATATTAATATTACATTATCTATGGGCACTCAATTTTTTTATTTATAACTTAATGAAGTATTCTTACTTCTTTTTAATATGAGTCAGAAACTGAAGTTTTTTCACCACCATGTTTAATGAAAATGGGAGGTGTGTATCATAAACTGCATCACAAAGTGATATAGAATTGATGAATATTCATTTGTTTCATACATAAATGTGCACTTATAAAACCATAAACATTATCTTAAAGTAATTAAATAACATACTTTGGTATTTTAACAGTTTTGTTTAATGATGATTAATATTGAAGCATATCTGAATAACATGTAGTTTTAGCTCTAGTTCCAAAAATATTTCTGTCTGTGAAAGGTTACTACATAAAAATTATATTGCCAGTATTTTCAAGATTCTGTTGCACAACCACTGAAGTATGACCTTAATTCACCACACAAATCACTACAATATGCAGTGGTCTGTACATGACAGTGAAAATCTTCATGAAGATGGACATGTGCAACACCAGACACATGAGTTTGCTGCAGATGTGACCATACCTTTACTAAAGCTGCATGCCTCCGGACAAGCCAAAATATTTCAAGAAAATTAAACTTGGTGAATATGTACTAAGATTTTAAGAAAAGTAAAATTTATTGAAGATTCAAGTGATAATTTATATCTTGTGTGCAATTAATGACTAATTTTTGCAGTATTTATCACCATATTTCTACTGCGTTAGTAATGCAGTAGGGGCTTTTTTTGCATATTTTGACCTATTTTTGATAATTTACGTGGATTATAAGTGCCGATTGCAATGTGTCAATTACATTCTTTGTTCACTTAACAATATTTTACTTTTTATTACATTTTCAAAATTTTCATGAAAATTAGGACATATCTGGAGGCGTGATGCTTTAAGCTACAAAAACACTTTATTTTACTCATTCTTACCATCACTTTCCATAGCTTGGTCATCATCAATATTGGGTGAGAGATCCAAAAATTTCAAGATAATATTTACAGCTCCAGTAAAGTCATTGATCAATCTCATGTTACCAGCTACAGACAACCCCTCTGATAGAGCATTCTCCATACTGCAAAAATATATACATGTATTGTTAATTAGTTCATAATTGACATGATATAATATATATCTCTTTTGGCAGGTTAACCTTTAACTTGTCCAGTTTTGAATTAATTACTCAAAGAGATTTCATTTGATCAGTCAGGTATCAAACTGTTCCATTAACACCAAAGTCAAAGCTGTGATGAGCAAACACAATTCCTAAATCATTTTAAAAACTATGTGGCAAAAAAAAAGAAGAAGGGAAAATGACAAAACAATCAGTAAAATACCAATAAGGCTGATTAATTTAATACAATAATACTAGACTGATTTTAATAGCAACACATCTTTACTTGGTTACATTACACTGTGGAAACAGTTGCAAGTATTTTATTGTTGCAGGTTTTTTTTTTAAACACAACTCAATATTTTAAAAACATATTTGTTTTAATTGTTTACACGATTTAAAAACAAATTTGTTAATGTAAATTATTTCCATTGATTGAAGGATAACAAAATGTTACCATTGTATGTATAGGTACGTGGGTAGGATAATAAATTATACTGTTAATTTCTACCCTATTAACATCCGATCTTGTGACAAGCGTTATATATCAGAGCCTTGTTATAATGCGGTTTGAAATCTTGAACCCCAAAATAAACTTTATAACGGGCTTACAGTGTACCAAAATACTATACATGATCATTAAGTTGCCAATAGTATAGTCTCATTAAACAAGACCTATCTACAGTGCCAGTGCTCTTTGTCTATGGGTTAAGTTTTTTAAACCTGTTTCAAACTTAATTTCTTTAATTTAGTAAATTAATACTGGGAAGTTGAGCAATGTGAACCTTTGTCAGATGAGACGGTGAAGGAATTCAGGATTTTACTTAGTCTCGATTGTTGAAGTTGGGCATAAAATTTAATTATTCAAAACATACTTAAGTTTTACACATTGTTACCAGCCATACCAATTCAAAGATTTTAAAACTTACTCATGATTTAAAATCACATGTTCAACTAGTTGCCCAGCAACCATTTCAAGATTCTGACTGGTTGAGAGTTCCTGTTCGAATTGCATTCCTAGATCATCAGAAATTTCCAGGCTGATAGAATGTAAAGTTTCAAATACAATACTAACATCTCTTTTTGTCTGTTCATCTAAAATCATAAAAAAAACATGTATAAACCATTATAGAACATGTTTGTATAAACTTTCTTTGTCCTTAAAATTTAGAGTTATGATTTAAGTCATACAATAGTGATGAAGTTGGGGTTTGTATTTTCACTGATAATGATTAAAAAATTTCTGGCTATACTGGTGAAGGCAGTCTTCATGTTACCATGCATAGAATTATCTAAGACATCAATAAACCCTTGAGTAGATCCACTAACCTTCAATAAGCTAGCTAGACAGCTTCCTCATACAAAAAACTTTTACTCCATATTGAATTTGAAGGGTTAAATAAGTCAGCAATTTTTACTTAGAAAACTTCTTTATTCAAAGCTGTTTTTAAAAAAGTCTGTGACCTGAACAGTCTTAAATTTGATTGAAACTTATATGAAGAGGTGAATGTTTGAAAAAGCAACTTATATATTTTATAATAATTGTAAGGAAAATTGAACATAAACTTTTGCATATAGTAGGTGATACTAAATTAAGATCAATATTTTAAATAATTTCAAAATAACTGAAAATCTAAAAAATAATGTTGAGTGAACCCTGGTTTTTAGAAGTGTTTGGAAATATTTCTGTAGCTAAACAATTATCTTTTGTCATCAACAATAAATCCTAATCCTAGTTTATATAATTTTTTTCACTACACAATTAACTTTATTTTCTTGATAGGTTTAAAATCTCAACAGAACTGCAAATGTCAACATTCTATTTGTAATGATGAAATACTACAAATGGTAGTCATATATAATATAACCACTTGTACAGTTTAAAATGTTACCATCTGTTCTGCATATGTCAGCAAGAATTTCTGAGTTCTCTAAGTCTTCACTAGAACAATACAACTCCTCCACCTGGTCACATGGTCGTAGGTACGTCACACAACCCTGATACCAACAATAAAACAAATACTCCATTTATACTTTGCCAAAGTAATAATATGACAAATTGTATATGAAAAGTATAATGTAGACTTCTATGAGAATTGAATTTTCATTTTATTATAAGGAAAGCTCATTAATTTATGACAATATTGTAAGAAAGTAGGTAAATTCTGACTGATCTACAAAACACCATCGTTTTCATTTACATGTATAACCCTCACCTTGTTGGATCAAAAAAAAGTGATTAGAGTATACCAAGTGTTGGTCAAGGACAGCCTGCAACTTTGTGCAGTCTGACCAGGCTCTACACTGCTGGTAGGGTAGCTCAAATTTAATGTATTTTGATACTAAAATCTCTTTAACTTGGAATGAACTGTTCCAAATTCAAAGCTGGGCAAATCCATGTAATAAATTTAGCAGGTTAAGGCTAAATTGTGCAGGGAAGTTTACAATAAATATATTACTGGAGATATTTTGTGATGATAAAATTCACTATTTTACTGAACAATGCCAACATTATTAAGGTTTCTTCAACACTTCCTAGTTAAACAAGGGTATAATCAATTATGTAGATACAAATCTAGGGGATATTCTAACATGACCCGCATTTTTCCCTATTGAACATTGAAGAACCAAGCGTGTTATTATACAATAAAATGTCTGTTGACATTCTATATTTATACATGTGATGTAATCATTAAACATGTGATGTAGCTGCTAAAAATGTGACACGATGAAAATAAATACAGAAACAAATCAGGTGCTTAATATCTGGTACAGCAGCATTTATTTGTTGATGTAGTGTTAGGATCAAAATAAAATATCGCTTGATAGCATTAGTAATGGAAATGTATGTCACTACTCATTTTTTTTTGATAATGAATTGACCATACCTTTCTCACAAGACCAATAAGTCCTGTCACACCATCAGCAAATAATCCTTTCAGTTTTCCACCAACCTACAACATTTTATACAATACTTCATTTCCATGTCTAGAAATTCTACAAGAAAACCATCCCTCTAAACCAATTAAATCAAAGAAATATTTGAAAATTTCTTTTTCTTAAATTTCTCAGTGCTGGATAGTTAAACAAGATGCTGGATAATGTCTGAATTAACAAACAGGGAGACTTCATTCAAATACAGGACATAGTTATGGGTCTTCAGGGTTCCCTCTGGGTCAAAATTAGTTTGCGCCACCAAATTCGCCAATCAGAAAAAGTTGGAGCCAATAATTCTGCAAGGGAGACATGCCTATCTTTGCTAAGATATGCTAGCAGTTATATATCATTATGATTACAAACACATATTTATAATATTTCATTTTATTACAGCTGCACATGTTTATTATCTAAAATATAGACATACTATTATGTGGTTTTCAAATTCTATTTAAATAAATACACATGACAGCATAAATGTAATCAAGAACATCATGTTAAGTTAGTCATCTTGTTTTCCACCGTTTTGCCAGTAAAAGCAGTTCTTCTCACAGGCTGGACTGAGCCAAGATCTTTCACAGCCTTCTACCCGACAATCTGGTGATCTACAGATACAAAATAAAAAAACAAAACATTACTATAAATTGACTTCATCTAAAAATCAATGAGAACAAAATATGAAATAATTACTAAGTATTTTTTAACAACTGAAAAAAATTGTATTTAATGTTTATAGGGTTTGCATATGAATAGACACTTCAGACCCCTTTACAATCAGATATGAAAATATTAACATTTGCAGTAACAGTGGCTTTAGATCAATCATTAGTGAAATTATTCTTTTAATTGTTCATCCGATTTAATATTCAAACTGTAATTATTTGAGTCAACTTACCTAAAGTTTAAGGTTTGTCAACATCACGGACGATCTTTCACTTCTCTGTTCGCTACTAACACCTGCTTGATCCACACATGTAATTATCTGCCCAAGTGAAAAATTTTCCAAATTTAAAATTCCCCTCCCCACCCCAAAAGGGCAACAAATTGTAAAAATTGATTTTACTACCATAAAAAAATACCGTACCTTTCACATTGGGCCCCCTTATTTAATTTCGCGGCGTTATAATTTAAATGTATAGTTGTCGGGGTGCTTTTTTCTTAGTTGGCGGAAAAAACGCAAAAAAATCCCCGAAATTTAAAATTTTTCGCATTTTTGGGGCATTTTGGGGGCACGGAACCGGGTCGGAGTCCTTTTTTAAAAAAAAACAAAAAGTAAGTTTTAAAATACCCTTTAGTGTTTTAAAAGATAAATTGCACACAAAAATTTAACGGGGCCTATTCAGTCAATTTTTGACATTATGGGGGTCTTGGATAGTGTGCTCCTTTTTAAAATTTTGAAAAATGTATAAAATTTTAAGTGAAAAACCCCGGTTTTGAAGTTGGAACATGAAACAAAAAGAAATTCCAAAATTTAGAAAAACCAAAAAACACAGCTGCTGTAAATTTAAAATTTTTTTTATGTTTTTCTCTAAAAAAGGAGAAAAAATTTTTTAAAAAATTTTTTGACGGTTACTGCGGATCTTAAACGGGGGAACCCACCCCCAAACCCAAAATTTGTTCCCACGAAAAAAATTTAAAATATATGGCTTTTATAAGGTTTTTTGAATTAAAACCCCGTTAGCAAATTGGGTTACAATTAAAAAGCGAAGGCCAAAAATGTCAAAAACTTTTAAATAAATTTAAAAAAACCCTTTAAAAAAAAGATTACTATATTACTTGTACTGTTACAAAGGATAAATTTGTCCCCCTGTTTTAAATTGTAATGTAAAAACTTTTCTTCCTTCGTAGTCAACTGCCCGCACTAGGATTGAAAAAAAAAATTTTTTAAGAAAAATGTACATTTTTGCACTGTGTGTGTATTTGAGTTTATTTATACTTGCCAAGGGTTGCTCATATGGGCGAATTCGCCAGTAAAGTACTCATTATTTTATATTTTGGAGGCTGGTGCAAGATACAGATACAGAAGAATGCCAAAATTCCAGAAGCTTCTCCTGGTTCTTAAATATGCCAAGTGTTCAAACACTTATACAGGCAACCTGTACTTAAAGCTTAAAGTCTCATCCCAAAGACTGATTAGTAATTTTAGTTGGCCAGCCTAGGGATCGAACCCACAAAGTTAAGATTACAAGTCTCGCATTCAAACCAATTGAGCTATGCGGGCTGGCAGTATGACAGTAATATATAGAGAAATATTTACAATTGCTGTTATTCATATCTGATTTTTTTTATTGGGAAACGTGTACAATTATTTACCAGAGAAAAACTTATTTTTATACTTTTCATTTTTTGTTGGTTCTTTTTCAAGTCACATTTTATATGCATATTTATACAGCACTATTTGTTGATTAAATAAATAAGCAAAAGAACATATTTGTGACCAAATAAGGGGGGAAAAAGATTTTAAAATTCCACCACAGAAGAATGATTACTCCAAAGTCTTTACACATTTCTGCAAATAAAGCAACATCAACTAACCTCAGTTTCCACAGCAATAGTGACATCTTGTTTCAATGTATTTACACCAAGTGCCATTTCTCCAGTTACATTTGGATCCAGAGCTTGACTGTATACCTGCAACTGTACATCCAGTCAAATAATAATATAACTAAAAGGTTATAGTTTAATAAAAATTAGTACAACAGAGCAATAATCATACAGAATATGAATTTACTATTTCCATTATATTTAGATAAAAAAGATTCAAATCAAAAGTGATACAATTGTATCTTAGTCACATGAGGAATTTGCAGTTTCAACCCAGAGAAAAAAGTCCCAAAAAATGTTTTACATTCCTGCCTAGGATGTAATGGTGTCAGTTTGTCAGACATATATCCCCCGGCGAACTTACACTAAGAGCTCTCCTAATGTCTTGTTTACTAAAGCGACCAGGTTGAAACAACCTCTCTAGATACACCTCTCGAGGATCTCTATGTGGTGGTATGTTCAAATCTGCAACCTCAGCCGGCTGTAACAACACTTCCATCCATGGGCCTGGACCTTCATCACTGTAATACAAATATTCACTTTCAAGTTACACAGATAAAAGCAAGCTAGTTTTGTGATTTTTTTTTTGTAATTTTTCCCTGACTTTAAGAGTAAACACAAACCCAGACAGAACCATAAATCTTTATATTAATGCTGTAATAATTTCTTCTATGAAATTAGAAATGAGTCCATAGGATATAGATGCCCATACATCCAGAAATCAAACTCTGTGGACCAAGACTGGAAATATCTTTTATACAAACATAGAATAAGAATTATTTTGTCATCATTAAACAATTTTAGCTCAAAACTCCTAGAGCTGTTCTTAATATAGTGTGCTGGACTTTTACAAGTTCTAGCCTGGAAGTGGGGCTGATGATCACTAACATGTATACAAAGTTTCAAAGCAATATCAAGAACAATATAGGAAATAAGTGGGCTGGTATGAAAAACTTAACCAGAAGTGTGACACAGACACTGAAGCCCCAGTGAGTAGGTAGTTCTCCCTGTTATATAAATGTAATAGACAAGCTTAAAGATTTTTCGTCATCATATTAATTCAATATACCTTCAATAAATATATATATTAAAGAAGTATTTAAAATATTTATACCCAAATGTTAGAGTTCTAACAACAGGTGTTCCCTCTGAACTTGTCCACAATGTAACTAGTGTTGTACTGCTCATACAAAAGTCAATCAAATCATCCTGCAACACAAGATATACATATAAGTAGGCAAACACAGACATATATACATACATAGTTAAGTACAATAAATCTGTAATTAACGATATTTATTGTTAAATATTATGAAACAAACATAAAACATACATATGTTGAATATTCTGTTCACTTTTCAACATTTTCATCACACTTTTTTTTAGAGATTTTCTTCCCATAAAAATCTCAAGTCTATGCAGTTCACTTTAATTAAATACAAAATATCAGGTTATTTCTGTTAAGCATAGAAATCAATGAGCATACCTCTGGACCAAACACAGATGCCCGATGGCTTATCTGTAGCCTACTGGAAGAGACCTGTGGTTGCAGGATACAAAACTGAAAATAAATAATTCAAATAGTCTTCAAATATATATCAAAACAACAGAATTCTATTCATTCAAAGAGTGAACTTGCAACAAAAAAAATCTTTCTTTTTTTTGTTGTTTTTCGGTGTGTTTTTTTTTAAAGAAATATTTCAGAGATTTCAAACTACAACTATCTTGTAATTGTTAATTATTTCAATTTTCTGAAAAAAGTCTCCTTCAGTCTTGATTATAAAACAACTTATTTAATTGTCAAGACATCAATATTTCAAATGTCATAATGAAATAAAGAAGCTGGACTAAGAACAGTATAAAGCTTGGTCAAACTATACAGAATAAGCTTGCTGACCTAGTAATAGACCGGTGGCAATGTCTTTACTATTCAAATTTTATTTCCAGCATTTTCTGGAGGATTAATTATCAACTTGTATAAATTATTGATTGTTGTAAGTGTACATCTTCTCCAGATTCCTCCCAAGGAGTGCACGCCGCGGAGAAGGCACATGGCAGGTCAAGGTCAAGTGGTCTCAAGTACCAAAGATGATTGGTTGACCTGTTATGACTAACTCAGGAGGGTGGTGCTCACACAAGTCGTTTTTGTTTGTTGCCATCAAGACACATGATGCCTTGGCAGTATGGCCATACCTCCACCAACCAACGAAGAATAGGTTAAGGAAGACCAGCATGAAAAAAGGTGTCCCAGATGCGACTTTGCAGATGCCAAGATCTCGGACATATGTAATTATTGGCGCTGAGCTAAAATAAAACTAAAACACACAAAGCAGGGCCGGCAAAATCTCACAAAAGTGTACTTGTCCACGGACAAGTAACCTAAGAAATTTACTTGTCCGTACTCAATGTTCACTTGTCCGTATTTATATTAAATATTTACTGCAAATGTCAATAAAAAGAGCAATATGATTATGAACTTTCTTTCAATTTTATTAAACATTCTATGCCATGTTTAATAATATAATATATTATGATTGTAATATAATATATTTATAAAATGTCAACGGCAGTAGATTAAAGTAGAACGACAGTGATGGACAAATGTGTGTATATTTTACTGGAAGGAGCATTGGTCTTTTGCCAGCACTTTTTCAGTTTTTCCTTGCACCCAAATTGCTCTAAAATATTTTCTTCATTGTTTTGCACTCTGGTATCATTTCTTATTTATTCACTCCTTATTCTATTCATCTATATAATATTCATTTCAATGATTTGAATCCTTTTAAAAAATCATATGTACTCTTGAGTTAGATTTGTCAAATTGATGACATCTGGCTTTTTTTAACGATATAATTATGATTGCCACAGAATGTAATATCATATACGTATATACGCTTGGTTGCAGCAGATGAATTGTGAAAATTTTGACATCATTACCATCGGCGACGATGAAACTGACATGTATACATTAACACCAGTATTAGACATTCAAAAACAAAGGCATTTTCACAAGAAATCTTTACATAAAATAAATTATAAAATGACTTTGTCCACATAAATTCAAGCAGTCAAATTGCCAATATGAGCGTAAATATTCCCGAATGACCTGGAAAAGCTATACAATGTATTTAAATTTCATTCTACACAGCGGTATTTCAAAGACAATTGTTGCGAGATTGATGCTGTGTCCGCTATCTAAACAATAAATGCGATTGAAAAGACCACAGCTTCCAATTCAATTTTATGGCAGAACCCCGTTGCTACCGAAAATATTTTATTGCAGAGGCTAAGTCGGCAGTCATAAACCAAAACAAACATGTACCCCAAGTTAATTGCCGCGCGCATGCAGTAACTGCATGACGTAAGGAAAACCCCAAGCCTGGTTGGTCGCTATTTATTTAAACACTTAAAATAGTAACACCCTAATATGCACGGAATGCCCTCATGACAGACACCACACTTCACACGCTAGTTTTCGTATTAAATGTGTGATTTTCCTTCTGATTTAGATCTATTAGAAAAGAACTAGATTTTTTTCTTCAGAATTCCTTTTTTAGCCGCCGAAATTTATTTGTCCACAGACAAGTAAACTGCATAATTTTACTTGCCCGGACCTACAATTTTACGACTCGGGCAACTCGGACAATTGATTTTGCCGGCCCTGCAAAGTAAGAGTACATACCTGATTAGAGTTTGTAAAGTTAAGATGAACACCAAGCTTGACATCAGCCATATTTGTACTGATCAGTTTACGTATTGTATGTCCAGATCCTGTTAAACAGTAATACTTACTGATTAAATGTTTAACTATATAAACACATTCTAAAACTGTATATACACATTGTTCAACTACATAAACACAATGTTAAACTACCCATACACATTATTTAACTACATAAACACATGGTTAACCTATATAAATACATTGTTAACCTATATAAATACATCATTAAACTACATAAACATGTGGTTAAACTTCACAACCACGTTGATAATCAATATAAATACAACACAATGTTCAACTATATAAACACATTGTTTCATTACAAAACACATTGTTAGCCTCTAAAGCTTTGCCAAGATTTGGTTTGTATATATGTACAATTAAAGAAGAATACATTTAAAATGCACATTACCACATTACATTTTTTCGCAAAGCATATCTAAATCTACATTGACATTTAACAGTTTTATATGAAAATATTGTGCTTTATTGTAGTTTTTTTATGTTTTATTTTAGTTTTTTGGTCTTATTTTAGTACAAATCTATATTTAATGTTGAATGAAAATATTTACCTGCAGGAGACAAAGATGCAGCATGGCCAACATCAGTTGCGAAGTCGAGGAGATTTGTAATTACCATACATTCATGCGTCTGCAACAAAAATTTTCAATATACATAGTGTACAAACAATGTCAGTGAAATATGTATGTCCCACTTATGGCCATCAAATAACTGTGTTTACTGTGTATGTCCCACTAATGGCAATCACATAACTGTATTTACTGTGTATGTCCCACTAATGGCAATCATAAAACTGTGTTTACTGTATATGTCCCACTAATGGCAATCAAATAACTGTGTTTACTGTGTATGTCCCACTAATGTCAATCAAATAACTGTGTTTACTGTTTATGTCCCACTAATGTCAATCAAATAACTGTGTTTACTGTATATGTCCCACTAATGACAATCAAATAACTGTTTTACTGTACATGTCCCACTAATGGCAATCACATAACTGTATTTACTGTGTATGTCCAACTAATGGCAATCATGAAACTGTGTTTACTGTATATGTCCTACTAATGGCAATCAAATAACTGTTTTACTGTACATGTCCCACTAATGGCAATCACATAACTATTTACTGTGTATGTCCCACTAATGGCAATCATGTAACTGTGTTTACTGTATATGTCCCACTAATGACAATCAAATAACTGTTTTACTGTACATGTCCCACTAATGGCAATCACTTTACTGTATTTACTGTGTATGTCCCACTAATGGCAATCAAATAACTGTGTTTACTGTATATGTCCCACTAATGACAATCAAATAACTGTTTTACTGTACATGTCCTACTCATGGCAATCAAATAACTGTTTTACTGTACATGTCCCACTAATGGCAATCACATAACTATTTACTGTGTATGTCCCACTAATGTCAATCAAATAACTGTTTTACTGTACATGTCCCACTAATGGCAATCACTTTACTGTATTTACTGTGTATGTCCCACTAATGGCAATCATGTAACTGTGTTTACTGTATATGTCCCACTAATGGCAATCAAATAACTGTGTTTACCATGATGAACACTGTAGGCGACAGCATTTTTTGTTAATGACCGAACAATGTCTGGTCTACAAACTGACTGACAGGCAAGTGCAAAGGAAGATAAGCAAAGTTTCTTCCAAATGAAACATAATTAGTGTGCCAAAAAATGAATAGATTAGAAATTGAAGTTCAGTGTTTGTCCCACAATAGGCATTAATTAAAGATATAATCTATAAAATCATATGGTAACTTGTCAGCTTTTCAAGTTAAGGACAAAAATACATATTATATTAAACCTTTACTAGAAAAAATATATATCCCTATCACCAAATACAAACATACAACAGTGATGTGCATGTATTTCCAAGATAGTGTCTTTAACTACTTAGCCAACAGGTATTTACTATTAACAACTACATATATCTAAGAGTTAAAAATTTTCAACTTACTTAATTATCATTTTCTCACAGAAAATATATTGAAAAAGACAAGATTATTTCTGCATTGATTTAAAACCGCATACCTTACAGGACCAGACTCGAAGCCTGTGATCTTTACAGACGGCAAATATACACGCCTCATTCCTGACAGCCTGTATTACCAGGCTACATACAGTATGTTGAGGTTCCTGACCACTCCTGAAATATTACACAATATTAAGTCTTCATTTTCAACAATATTTCTTATTAGGATTTAGCTGGTTACCTGAATAAAATCCATACTTTAATGCAATTTATTTAAAGAAACTTCACTGAGGTCCAAAAGTCTGAAAACATAAAATTTGAATTCCTTACATAGAACAACATAGGCTCTTAAAACAGAAAGATATACAAAAGATAATTAAAGGGTATAAATATATCTTATGGAATATTTTAATAACATTTATCAACAGTAAAATTATATTGGTTCTATTATTTTATGGTTGATTCCCAAAAAATTGTAACGTAGAATGTCTCTCTGTTATTTAATACACATGAATAATGTACCTAAACAGAATTAAATGTTCTGGAACAAAATATTATTTTGCTATTTTAAGTAGGGTTTTATCCATTTAGCAATGATTTTATGCTTGTTTTTAATGCAATAAATTACCATTGTTTATTTCATACAGGCATTTTGGAAGTATACTTTTTTTTAAAAATTCAAACAATAATTTTTGCATCAGATATAAAGCTTTAAGAAATTAACTCCGAAATAAATTGAAAATAGTACTTCTGTGCTTTTCTTATCCTAGTTTAAGTGAAAGGCATTGCAATACTTTTCAATTTTGGGTTTTTCACAACTAGAATTATTGGTCTGAAATAATGGAGTGAGCGAATGATCAGACGGCACAAATGTGCCAACTTATCTTGGTCTGCACTGGATCCACAGTTGTTTTTTTTTTATCAAATCAAATTGAGCATTAATTTTGAAAAAGTAAAAAGTACTGTCATGTCAAAAACCTCAGCAGAGTGCCTTTAAAGGCCATATAATTATCTTTATCTAGATACACAGTGTAGTTTTTTTTTAAAAACAGTTAAAAAGAACTTTTAAGATTTTATACATGAAAGTTGGCAGAGTCAAAACTCATATGGATAATTCTATATTTTGGACTACATTCTCTGATTTTTTTTGTTGAAGTCAGTAGTCAGTAGCTTAAGCTATTCAATTCATTATCAGAAATTACCTGGTTATGTTTTTTAAGAGAGTTCAGAATGGTGCTGATAATGTATTAAACCATGTCATGCACCTACAATTAATCAATGTTTACTGCATGCTGTACAATTGCAACTGCGAGGCAAATGTTTTCGTAAACAACTTATATTTCTTATTATTGTTTTTCCTCAAGTGTAAAATTAAATAAGGTTATTTTTTGTTTTTTCTTAATTCCCGCTGTTGAAATATATGAAATTGTATCATGTTTCATGAAAATATATTCATATTTCACTCAAATGAAAAAAATTCTCCCAATATATTTCTTACCTCATAACTGAAGGAACCAAGCCTGTCCACAGTTTCTGCATCACTGATGTCTGACACAACTCAAACTGTTGTACAATACCTTAAAATATACAATGTATTGCCTCTTTTATATAAACACATTGTACATGTACTATAAATTATTAAAGTGTATTATAAACAAAGAAATTTTTATTTTTTGAGACTATCAATTGAATGACAAGTTATTACATCAAAAGTTGGTAGAAATAGTGGCGAACTTGTCAACATTTTCCTTTCTCCTTCTAAATATATATCTTTTTTCTTTAAATCTTTCAAATGTATTACAGAAAGGATGACCACCTCCTACCTTGTATATCAAGCGGTGGCATCTTTACAAGAAGTATATTTCCTATACTATTAGCTAGAGCAAACAAGGCTTCGCCATCCTGTGTGTAATAAGATGCTGCTGCAGTGAAATGAGAAGTTATCGTCCCTCCAGGGTTTAACATATGTGAGTTCCTTGTATCCATACATTTTGCTATGGAAGCATCATAGAATATAGAAGGTAGTGGATGGTCAGAAGGTATATACTGTAAATCCTGAAATAAAATCAATATTTAAAATCAAAGACCTTAGACTATATTTTATAACATGATAAAACAGTAAAATCTGACAGCTTTCAGTATAATGTAACTTATACAACTAACTTATTTCATATAGAAAAGTTAATATTTGTAATAAATATGGATCATGTGCTTATATAATGTGATACAACAGATTTTTTTTTATAATTTTGAGGATAAGCAAGAAATTACAAGAGCTCCAGTGAGGTCAGAAAGGCTAAAATCATAAAATTGGAAATTCTTACTTACTCCAGGCCTATATCAAATGGTACATAAATCTCAGAAAAATATTTCATGTCCTGTCATTTCAAACTTCAGTGTAAACCATTTAATACATCATTGTGCAATATTTGTACATTCTAACATGAAGACATATGATCACTTACTGTAGTGAACAAATGTGCACAATGATTTGTCATTTACTTAATGTAGTGAACAAAATGTGCACAACAATTAGTCATTATCCTGGAACCAGTACCCACATCACCATGTTCCCAACATACATTACCATGTTTCCCATATATTATATTTCCCTTTTTTCTCACAATTAATATTGCCCTATTCTCCACAAGAAACTGAAATCTGCCCCACATGAGTAAATGGGGAATAAAACAGCCAAAAAAAGCATTTATCTTCACCCACATCAGAAATTCCACATTTAATCTTAAATATTCCTTAAAAAATCCATGACTAATCCCAACTTACTTCATTTTAAGCTGTATTCCCATCAAAGCAGATATGGCTTTTATTAAAATGTGATAAGTTATACTAGTATCAAATAATAATAAAAATGTTTCTTTCCATTCTTCCCAATTTTTAAAGGCATGGGATTTAATGAAATTCCGTGAAAAAAAATCACTGCTAATCCTTTATTAGGATTCCAACCCACTTGGGCTTAGAGACACTTGATTATGGAGGCCCATTTTTCCAGTTAAGAAATATTATTTCAAAATGGCTGATGATGATAAGACTTCTGATACTACTGAACTTTGAGTATACTTACTCCTTTATGAAGTTTGTTTGGATGAGGAAAGATAAGCCTGTGAACACTCGCTACTGTAGGCACCAGTACAATAACATATCCATGAGATTCATGTATGGATACTCCACCAAGAATTGCTGTATCCTGGAAATGGAACTTGACCTTTGATCCATACAGGTCAAGATCAAGGCTTTCCTCTTCAAGTTCAAGGACATCATTACAGGCTTTCCTAACAAATACAAGAAGACATACTATTTTTATTTTCTAAAGAACGACAGACAATTACTCCATTTTAATTTCATAAAATAAATGACTAATATCTGGATAATTATATATTACACTAAAATAATGAAATGAAGCCATTTGAACTTACAAAATGCTCATGACTGGAATTCTTTTATAATTAAAAAACCTTTGTTAGAAAATGAATGTACAATGTATATGATATGTAAATATCTAATCGAAAGATCATTTTTACCAGTGGATGAATCTGTTTCGGACTACTGAAAGTGGCAATCCACTGTCATTGTATGTGTAACCCCCACAACTTTCCGCAACTTTTATATCCTGTAAGGTGCTAGCTGAGGCCCCTGAAATGAATATACCTGTACATGTTCATAGTTCAATTAAAAATGTGCCATGTGTAATTAAAATTGAAAATTAATTGTCTTCAGAAAAAAATATCATTATGAAATTAAGCAAAGGAATATTTGTTGCTCTTTTTAACGTTTAGCCTGCTGGAGGCAACAGCCAACTGATTCTACCCAAGATCAGTTGATACATTTGTTCCGTCTTTTGTTATGAATTGTTATAGATGACATTGGTAATCAAACTACTTTGTGGACCCGGCTATAGAGTACACATGTATATTTAAAAGGAAATCAAATTTAAAATTATAGAGATTTCTATATCTATCAGTGAAATTTTCAGTGTCATATCTTGTTGGGCACTGCCATTTTCAATGAAACTAAATGATAATAGGTATTCAGGTAACGGAACAATTGCAACTTTTCACCTCAATAATATTTGTCGAGGTGTTCCAAGTAAAACTGAAAAATAATGAAAAATTATTTCAACCAACTTTGCCTAATTTCATATTAAATTTAATTCAAGGTTAACTGGTAGTTTGACAAAACCACTTTCACCCAAACAGTTCACTATTATGGGACAAGTTGTGTAAGTTAGGGCTGCAACGATACACCAAATGTTCAATTCAATTTCCACTTCAGACACCCCAATTCAATTTTTTTTCGATTCAATTCATGTGTGATTACTATTTTGTCTTTACTTGACAATTCTGCTTATTTATTGTAAAACAATTTTAATCTAATAAACAATAATGTGACTAGCAATCTAATACTTTACAAATCTGACTTTCTCAAATTAAAACTAGGCTTTTTTAACACATTATCATCAGTATACTTCTTTCTTTTCATGTATTTCTCCACAGCTTGTACCTGTTAAACTGAAGCACTGCTTGCAATAAGTTTGTTGTACTAACTTACCGACTTCGGACATGACACGCCGGCAAAGCATAACCTACATGTTGCTTTGTTTAATTCTTTGCCTTTGAGAAACCGAAGCATTTTCTCACCTTTTGTATTAAAGGTGAGATGATTTTTAGATTCATTTTTTTCTACAATGGCGTTTGAAACCATTCTGATTTGCTTTACTATAAAAATCAAAATATGAAATATTTCTTTCAAAACTTATTGCCATTGTTTTTATCATAATTTTGTAGAATTGATATTTTGCAAAATATGAGTAATAGATCATGACATTTATAAAATATTTGTACAATCCTTTAATACAGTAAATATGCTAGTATTAATATAATAAGATACTGTATAAACCCTCTAGATAATGTATAGAATTAAATCCTTGCTCTGAAATATTTGCGTCCAGCTGTAATAAACATGCGTACCGGGACGCCGAAATAAGCGTCACCGAGAACCCTGTGTAAATGATCCAAAGTCATAACAGATCACTAAAAGAATTTGATATTCAAAAATTATACATTAGAAAAGAATCAATATAGTTATATATGAATATTACCAATATCACAGTAGAGAGCCAATGTTGAGGTTGAGACACAGAAAGCTGTATCTGAAGCAGATGACTATCAAAATGCCCCTCATGCATTAGCCATGGATGACTCAGATTCCGGCCTCAAATCAGGCTCTGATGATTGTTTTTAGTTGATATAAAATGTACATTAAACTGAGTTAAAATTTGATTTTTCTGTTCACAGGGCCTTTTTACCTTCTATAGCAGGGGCCGGTATTGGGCTGCTTCCCCAAAGAAAATTTCTTTAAAATCATGCAGTTTTCCCCAAAAATTGAATTTACATTAAGTTTTTTCTTCCCCTTTTGAAAATATACCATGTAATTTTTCCCCAAAATTAAGGGCTGGGCTGCTTCCCCAAACTGTGAAAAAAAGCCCTGGTTCAATTTCAGTGTCTGAGCAAATCTTCCCAATAAAAAAGCAGGTCAGACAGTACCTAAAAATTGTACCAAAATGCACCAAAATGCACAAGTTAAAATTTGATTTTTCTGTTCAATTTCAGCGTCTGAGCAAATCTTCCCAATAAAAAAGCAGGTCAGACAGTACCTAAAAATTGTACCAGAATGCACCAAAATGCAGGATTTAGCATCTTTAAAAGCAAATTTTCCGGAGGAGGCCCCCCCCCTCGGTCGCGAAGGACAAGAAAAATATAGCAACACTAAAGTGAAGTATGGGGCAACTTTTTACAACTGCAACTCAAACACCTATCCAAACATATTCTCTGATTTTGGAAATGCAATGCATAGCATAGTCATTTAATATATTTGGACTTCTGTAGAAAAGCCTGTCAAGAAATTAATGCCTAACGTCAATTTTTTTTGCCAACAATTAATTTACTATGTGGAATGACAAAATAACCAGACCCACCAGTCACTTCATAATCAATTCTGTCATGAAACATAGTAATGATCATGAGGCAAAACAATTAGTCACGTTATAAAACGTGTAATGCATACTGTTTTTGATTGGGTTTTAGTTGTCACACCGACACAGTATAGGTCATAATTATCCTTTATTTTTACACACAAAAACAACAACAACAAATTAACCACCCACAACAACAACGACAAAATAATTCACAAATATCTATAACATGATGTATTTTGCTAATAACTACTGCTTAATTTAACTATTAATGTATGATTATTGTGAAATAACTTCTCCTTAAACTTGTTCTAGGGGCTTATCAGTTCACAGCTTTCTGCCCCAAAAAAGAAAACATGAATGACCTGAAATTGACCTAAGATTCTGCAAGGCGTATATTATCTGATGATATATTACATCAAATCGGCATGTTTCGTTCACTTACTTATGTCCAAACAACAGTTTTTTAAATACCATTTAACATCAGAATCGAACATTAATCTGGTCCTAGGGAGGTGTCAAATGTGCCAGCAGTTTTGACACGACTATACCCTTAGCTGAATATAACAATGAATTTATCTAGGTTTAAACATTACAGCTATTTCATCAATTGCACAGTACATTAATACATGTATATATTCAGTGCTTACTTGTTGTGCAGCCTATTTCTATTCTAAATTGTTAAAACAAGCATTACATTTCATTCACTGCATACAAATCCAATTTACATTATTTCGCTTTGTATAAGATGATAACAACATTCTGCAAACATTCGTGATTATATAAGAAATGACGTGTTTTGGGGCACCATATTGATTTATACTTTAGAGAAATCAGCTAACAGTCTATGATCAGATTCTATAACTAATTGAACGATTACATTGATCACAGATTTATATTACAAGGATCGGACACTATCGTTTAGCTTAAAGTCCCGTCGCGCGTATGCGCGGAATAGGATAAAGGTGGACAGAATGAGATGGCGGAACGCGCAGAGTGCGAAATATGACAGATTTTCACAAGAGTATGTGGGGTTATTGCAGCTTTGTGAAAAATTATACACATATGAATGTATTAATACAGTATTATTTTGTGTCGCTAAAGTATTAATATATGAAAATATGCCGATAGAACGCTGCAACGCTTAGTTAAAAAGTACCTAATTTAAAAAATATTCGCCTATTGTTTAGACATACTCTCTACACTTTGGCGCCCTTTTACTTCAAGTACGAATTATTACCGCGATTCAGAATAAGATCATTATTTTTTACATGGTTTAATGGTGGCATTGCAAAAAAATGTTTTTTGATTGCTAAAATTTTTTTTAAAGAAATTCATGTTTTAAATGTGTCTTTATTTCTATGAATTATTTTCAAATGATTTGTACATTTTTTATTTGATTACCTGTATATTAGTATAAATATAGTAAATATTCTTCTAATTAGTGTATTAAATATATTTTCAGATCATTCTAGACAAACATTCATATATAGATGAATTCATTAGATTGGCAAGGAATAAACTTTTATTGGCATGCAGAACAGCTGTTTTATAAAATTATTTTTTATTTTGAAACAGATTTTTTTCATAGTTATCCTTGACAATTCACGTCAAATGATTTATTTATCACATGTTTATTTTCATTATTTTTCAAAGAAAGGACTTTACAAATTTAGTTGTATATTTTCAATTTCATTTATAAATGTTAATAAAGAAAATAGATTTACATTGTATTTATATATATCCTCTTCAGAATCATTTTCTTACCACACATGCCATGAACTGTAGTTAAAGACCGCGCACATACGAAATATACATTCAAATTCTATTTGTTTTTGAAGATTGAGTGTTGCAATTATCACATGTAACCTGGTAATGAAAGTTTGGAAATAAAGTTTTTTAATTATCACTTACCCCCCTTCAAAAGTAATTAAACTTGAAAGAAATTTAAGCGATGTGTAAAAAATAATCAACAGTTACTTTTATTTCGCAAAATACATACTCAAACTGTAAAGATTTTTATTGTTTTTCTAGCGTAACATTAAAAAGTATCATAAATATCTTTCTACAGGCATTCAAATAAAAACAATAATTAAAATATACGGATTAAAATATACGAGTGACATTAAAAAGGCCGGAATCAAGACAGCCACACGAGAGAACTTTACTGTTACGATGATTGTCTACTTCACTGCACCGACATTTGAAAACAGATTTAAAAAAAATAATAATGATATAAATGATGAATGAAATTTAAATATTCTATGAATATGGCAATATTGACAATCTCGGCAATATTTTGTACTAAAAAAAGTGAATAAATTTTCTTCACGTGTTGAGCGAATTGTAAAGGCCGCAATACATTACCCGTAAAACAATTGTGCCTTTATAAATTTGACTATATAACTTAAATATTGCATCTTTGATCATCTGTGAATAACTTACATTGGCTTCTTTTTTATTTTGAAACTGAAATTATTATGGTACCATAATAATAAATTTCAAATACCTGCTTTTTATATAAAAAAAATGTAAATTTACCGCGAATTTTGTCAAGTTTTTAATCGTCGTTGCGGACAGATAAACTGTACCTTTAAAACATAAATTAGATATTTGAATTAAACAAGTATTTTTCTTCAAAATAAACTTTAAATTTCCAAAATCGGATAATAAATGGAAAAGCTGTATAGTATTTTGTAAAGTAGGTATCCGTTGCGAACGGGCATTTACGCTTAGCGCCGGTAAATTATCGATCGATGTACCTTTATCGGGTGCACGACAAGATATTTAAGCATTTATATAGGGTTAACTGGGAGTGTCCGATCCCTGTAATATAAAACCGTGCATTGATGTGCAGGGCTAGCACTGGCAATTTTTTACTTTGAGCCAATTCTTCGCGGCGAAAATTGCCTGCCTGTATTTTATTTTCAAATAAGGCAATGGTACGGCATGGGATATTTAGAAAAGCATTAACTATATCCAACTTAATTTTGGTAGCTACATTTTTATTACATCAACAAATCTTACATATACGAGTATAATTTACAGTCAGTAATCATAATTTTAAGCTTAGAGGTCAGTAACTATAACATTTGCCAAAAGTTATATGTAGGCAGCAAGGTTCCCTTAAAATCTAAGTCTGTGGCATGGTTGTGACATAAGGTCAATCTTTTTTTTTCAGGAATACTCTGTATGCAGGGCTCGACATTAACGGTTGTCCGACTGCCCGGGACAACTAAAAGTTTGGTCCGGGCAAGTTATTTTGAAAAGCACTTGTCCGACAGGGCAAGTGAAAATAAAAAGCATCATTGACAAAATGCATGTACAAAATGAATAGAAATAACATCTTTTCATTTATAAACATCTTTAAAACAAAAATACACCATGAATTATTATCAATAATGTGAATATACTACGGTCATGTACATTTATTGATATAGGAAACGGAAGCAAAAATATGAGCATGCGCCGCGGTAAGGTAATTCTCTGTTCTAATAATAGACTATATCTAATTTTGTACAAGGTAATTCCCGGGTTATGCTGTTGTTTAAATTTTGATGTTTGCATGTAAAGATATCATTGAAAATATGTAGATAATCATATTGATCTTTAAATATAATTGTTAAATAAAGTTTTTGCATTAAAAATGATTTATTGTTTAATCTAATATAACAACATTATGAACTTAGTAAACAAAGACTCGTTTACGGCTGTTGACTTGATGATTGAACGGGGAATTTCCTTACCGCGGCGCATGCTCATATTTTTCCTTCCGTTTCCTATATCAACAAATGTACATGACCGTAGTATATTCACATTGAATAAACAGATGAACCGATGTTTTAGAAAAACTACTAAATACAAAAAATATTTATGAGCTTGTTTGTTTTTCTGATTTATACATTTTTACCTTTTTTAGGTCAGGACAAGTAAGTCTTAGGTCACGGGCAAGTAGTTTTAAAAACTACTTGCCCGACAGGACAACCTGATTCAAAAGTTAATGTCTAGGCCTGGTATGTCAAATAAATTCCTTCTCAATTTTATATTTTTGGAGCCATAATTAGGTCAGATTTCAGGGCCAAAATACCCTTCTTAGTAGTGGCCCAATAAAGGCTGCTTCCCCAACCAAACTAGCCTCTTGTTTCCTCAAAATCCCCCAGTCTTTTGAAATTTCCCATAGAATTTAGAACATAATTTAATGAGGTCTTTAACTGCCTTATTAGTATTTCCCACTGCTTTTTGCTGTCCTATTTTGAAGAACATTCCCACTGCTTTTTGCTTTTCTATTTTGAAGAACTTGTTAAAATTTTGTGTTAAATTTTTTACTTTGAGCCAATTATGTGTTAAATATTCAACAATCTGCAACAGGTATTTTTCACACCAATTAGTGCCGTATTTATCAGCTGATAAACATGTAAACATGCCCTATGAGATAAGAAGTGATAAAACGGAAGTTGTAGATGGAAAACCAGATGTGTACTTTTCCATTCTTAAAAAAGAAAATGCTAAATTTAGACTGGAGATTCCAAGTCATACTTTTTGTAAGTTTGAGCCAATCGTGATTTTCTTGAGCCAATTTAATTATTTTGGAGCCAATTTGCTCATTGGCTCCTGCCAGCGCGAGCCCTGGATGTGTGTGCAATTTATTCCACTTTTTCATGTTTATCGTCTTTATCCCCAACGCCAGTCGTGAGACTGATTTTAATTCGATATTTGCCTATAGCCTAGACTCTACGGTAAATATTGTTATAATTATGCGAGGCGCTATCCAGTGTCCGAGTACCAACAAGAAACCAGGCTAACTTTTGAAAATACTTTGTTCTTTGCCTATGTAATGCCAAAGAAAATTTTATTGGGGCAACAAAAATAGCAAAATGGGTACTGTCAATGATTTATACATATTGTTGTTCTTTTAAAATTTCTAATCATTAAAGTGTAAAAGCTGACGCGAAATTTCAGAGAAAATATCTCAGAGAAAAAATCGAATTCCCACAGCAGTTTTGGTGGTTGCCGGAGACATAAAAGAACAGACTATAAAATTCCCATATTTAAAATGAGTTTGCGTTTGAAGACTAACTGTCACTTAGCTTATCAAAACTTATTCATCTTTTGTTTCTCTTTCACTTTGTTTTTTTTTTCCATAATTTTCAAATCTTTTTTAAAGGATTGGAAAATTATGCTTTAATGACACAGAGTTTCCATTTCAATAAATTAATAAAGAGTTTACACAATTTTTCAACCTGTATTCAAAGAAATTTCTTTCCACTTTGTTGCAGTCGAGCTTGGCACATAAATTTCTCGGTATAAAAGTGAATTCGCGCTGTCCGCCATTCTGCCGGTTTTTGCCGAGAGTAATGTCCCCTTTAAACATAGACAATATCTGTTACGTGCCGTTGGTATTCCGTATAGTTAGAGGTTGAATTACACTAAATTATTTATTAACACCACACTAAATACCGTATTCCGGTATATACCGGACGATAAAATGCTAAAAGCTTGCCTTTTTACCCAACGGAATGAACTTTAAAAGGTCTAATTCATCTTTCCACACCGATTTATATATGATAATGAATCAAAAATGTAATACTTGGCGGAAAAATGATATTTGTCAATTTTGTGAAGCGTTGAGAGGTAATTTCTCCAGTCCTGTTATGAGTTAAATCCATTTATACGAATATGCCGTCTAAACATTAAATGTGATATGATTTTTGTTACATTAAATCTTAACCATGTGCTTGCATTCACTCCCATCCTTTAAATAACATGTTTTAACTCTGTCTTCATTTCAGGTTCTACTGTTAAATATTGAGCTGTAAAACTTTCGTACTTTTTTTCTAGCAGATGTGCAATTTGTAAACATTGTATTTATATAATGTGGTGTATTTTTAACAGTGAACTGTACTAAAATGTCAATAGAAATATGCACTTAATATTTTAGTACTGTATGGTCTCTTATACAATTAAGATTTAGCAATATGCGAGTTAGATATTCTAAAAATCATTATTGGTTAATGCTTGACAATCAAGAACAAATATTGATACATTTCTATTAATATTTTCAACTTAATATTTTGAACACAGCTATTTTAAAGCTATAAAATCGAAACCAATTAAAAGGGATTTAATTTCAAATAGACACTGTTGGAGCATCAAGTAACAAATATATGTTTTTTAAGTGACACTTCATCTTGTTTTTAATCATATTTTCCATTTTTGCTGTAGTAAATAAAAAGTTAGATGCAAACAGAAACAATTTTCATAGTTTTGACAACAGTAACATATTGACCTTGATTGAACATTTTGTTCCAAAAGGAAATATAAAGTAAGATCTTACTGTAATATATCTATCTATCAACCTAAGCAAATTACCGCATGCATCATGCTGCAAACATATTTCATTCAGGTGATACCTGGGTAAGTATTATACAGTATTTATATTTTCCTAGTTATAACTTTTTGGCGTTCATATTTGCTATATAACTATAAAAAATATTAACTACAATGTAGAGGGCAATTGAAATTATTTTCATAATTTTGACCACAGTGACATGACCTTGATCACGGATGTATATTAAATCCGTGCCTTGATTGACCATTTTGCAGCCAAGAGTAAATACGAAGTTATATCTTATATAACTTGTCTTTAAATTATAGTGAACTCGTCTTCATTTTTCATTGTTTACACTGACTTTTATTTTAAGCTTTAAGGACCTTATAACCTTTAGTTTGGCAAGAGGCTTTGCATGCAACCAGGGAAATATAAGCACATTATATTAAGTTTTGAAGTCAATTAAGTTTTGTCCCTGGTGCACCACACAATTTTGTTTAAATAGTGATCAATTGTTGCAATCTTTTTTTTTTTTAGAAATGCCAGACGAAAATTTTCAGAGAAACACTATCAAGCCATGAGTGGGGATGGAATTGCTTGTATCGTTGCATGACAGGACTTCCCGTAGCTAATAATCAAGGGTGAATTTGGTGTCAATGACCGAGCGGAATTTACCTTCTACCTACTACCGTAATGATACGCCGAAAGACTTCAATAAACTAAGGATCAAATTATCAAAACATATTAATATATTTATACAGTTCATTAATGCAACTTTACGGTGATAATATTCCTTCACGACGAAAATCCGAAAGTACAAAATCCGAAAGTACATTTAACGGATATACGACAGTGACTGACAGTTCCGTATGACTGAGATTGAGGAAACAGTTCTATTGATAGAACACAGCACGAGCGACATTGTGTTTGCAAATTGGATAAGAATAGTGCATAAAAATCAGTTATGTGTTTCCACAACGCGATCTGCGATTGTCATTCAATTTGTAAAAAAGAATTGAATCAAGAATGGAGTAATGTGTAATGTTTTAATATTCACCGCATGGATTCGGTTAACTTATCTGTATTGTGATTAACTTGTAAAATTGAGTTAATTTGGAAATTACCACTGTCACTGTTTTATACTGTCAATTTCATATGTCAGCTAAAGTTTTAGGTGCACAATGATTAATTCAATATAAGAAATGGCAAATCTTCCAGAAAGCAGCAATAATTTTGCTGGAACTATTCAAAATCTGCCTGATTTTGTACAGAAATTAACAGCTGATTCAATCACTCCCGGGAGGATGTCCGTGCTAAATGACAGTTACGGGACAATTACAGGTGTTGGTGGTAGCCTGTCTGAAGGTCTGTCAATGGCCTCAGGCAGTGGACTAATGTTACCTGTCAGTGCAGTTCCTACACCAGTATTGGATACTGTCAAAATTAAAAGTGAACCATCTTTTGGTGATGATGTCAAATCAAAGATTAAAGTTGGTAAGTCAAGTCAACAACCACTGGATTCAGTACTTTCTGTTAGTCCTGCTTGTATTATATTTGTTTTCAGCTTGGCGAATCTCAAGAAATAGCAAGAAGCTTATAAGAATATTAAACAATTTCATTAGCTAAAACAAGGAATAAAAAGGACCAACTCTAGCGTTTAATGGTTTCTTTGTGTCACAGGGTGAGAAGAAAGCTCAGCCTGATCAGGACTTGAACTCAGGACCCTAGGAATACTGTTCTTACTGAGCTATCCTTAAGCGGCTTACATGTATATCATCTCTCCTTATTACTGAACAGTTCTGAACTGTGGCATAAATGTGTTGGATATAATTGTAATGTGTCACGTGCAAGAATCAGGTCCCTAGTTCAAAGGTCAAGGTCACACTTGTAGATCAAAATTTATGATATGAATTTTTATTAAAGTACACTGATCTTTGTGTTAGGACAACAATTCTGTCATTCCAGAATAGGTTGTAATATTATCATGCAGAAATGTGTTGGACATAATGACAATGTGTCGTGCCCATGAATCAAGTCCCACCCCTAAGGTGAAGGTCACACTTGTATATGAATTTTTTCATATAAATGATTAATGATTGTGTGCGGTAAACAATTTTGGATTTCAAATGTGTAAAATATGAAAAACAAGATCAACAAGTAAGGGCAGTGTTTAATTAAGGCAACAGACATGATATTGATGTGTCACACATAGGGGTCAGGTTTTTCCTTCAAATGTCAAGGTCACACACATATGTCAAATATGTTGATTGTGAATAGATTGTCTTTTTTTGTGCATTGCTTTTTCATTCATGGATGGACTTTCAAATACATGTAATTATGCATAAATATGCTGCTTATTAAGATGAATGTAATGAATAAAATTTAGATATGATAGTGCATTGAGTCATGTCTAGTCTATGTATTTTTATCATTCAGTTTGTCATTCGATCAGGCTCACTGAGAACATGAGAAAGTATTTGTTAATGTTTATATATTCTTTAATATAATACTCTTTTTATAGTTACCATACCTTTGATGCAAGTGAAAGGTCATCGTTCCTTTATTCTTTAAGAATCTTATGGGCCCTGCTTTGGAGGAATTTGTCTGTTTTCCAACGATTGTTCTTGTTTTGTTTGTGTGTCCTCAGTAAAATTAAATGTTTAACACAGTTAGCAAAATACTAGCTTGAAATAATAACCAAGTTAGTTAATAGCCAAAGTTAGTTTAAAAAAAGATTACAACAAAATAACATATTTATGTCCTCATAAGAAATTCAGAATTTTAGGAATACAAGCTATACGACTGGTGCCAATAAATACATAGACCAGGATACTGAAATAAGGCAGTTTGTCTAAAAACTTTTGTCTTCAGTCCAATGCAAAAAAAAACCCATTTAACAACTCTCTAATAGTTTTTAAGGTGTGAAGTATTTTCTTTCCTGTTTAAGAGCGCAGGTATGCTCCTCCCTAAAGTTCTTTGTATAAAAGATTATTCTTAATGCAGATTTGAGAGGTTTGAATCCAGTAGGAATTAAATAAGAGTAACCTATCCACACCCACCTAAATTTCATATTATGTATAGGTAAAGCATAGTTATCTAAAACACTGAACGTTCAATTGTTTTCATGTATAAAAGTAACGGTATACACATATTAGGTAAAAAAATATTGAGCTGTAGATTTCATCAATTTGCCTTGATATATGACACCATGTAGGTGTAGTAATTGTTCAAGTTGTTAACACACTGACAACCTAGCTATGTACATTTTTGTGATGTATATAGGTGATTGGCCTTGAATAATTAATATATACACACGTCATACCAAAACAAAATATAATCACCAACGGCCAATCACCAAAATTGTGGGTTTCTTTTTTTAAATGACTTAAAATTATTATTGTATTATGCATACATGTCTGTTAAAGTGACATTATGTTCATTTTTTCATCGTCGAAAGGAGCTGAATTGACTATATCTTTAAAAGATTGACTGTTTATAATGTTGAATGACCCAACAGTTGATAATGGAAAGGGTTTCAGATAAAATATAAATCTGCCTTAAATATAAAAAGACTGCCCAACTCTTCTTATGAAATGAATATTACAGGTAAATTCCGATGGATATTTACAAAAATTGGCCTTGAGCAGCCTTGAGTTATTTATTGTTCATGCGATGTAAATTATATAATTAAAGGAGTTATGGCAAATGTAAATTTGGAAGGGCATTTATAATGTCTCTTTCATTGCACATGTAAAATAAACTGACAGTCCTTTAATTTTTAAATTAATTTGTTGCATGTCAGTCCTGTATGTCAGTTATTGATACATCACGTGTTCTGTGCATAAAGTTATGATGAAATGCCCACTGCATGTTATTTTTCTGATGATTTTTTTGTCATCACTGCTAAGAAATATGTTCATTACATAACAACAGCATAGTTTCAGACATGTCCTTTTGACTTGACACTTGCATCTGTCTATGTTTCTGGCTGAATTATTCTTATTTCTAAGATTTTTATGTATAATTATGATAATTTGTATTGATTATCGATCAACAGGAAAATATCAGAAATACATTTCTATCGATGATCAAGGGGGAGAATCACGCCGTTCGTTACCCAAACAAACAAGATGGCGGATGCAGCCAAAAAGTAGGTTTTTCCCTTTTTTCTCTGAAATTCGTGATGTTCTAATGTAAAGGTACATAAAACAACCTTCTACACATTTTTCCTGGCACACAGGATGTTATTTCATGATGTTTCGTCCCGTACTTCATCTGAAATGCGCGTCACCAGATTCGAAGCGAGAGAATTTTCCACCGGTTTGATCGTGGTAACGTACGGCTTTTTCTCTCAAATTCACTGTTTCTTTAACATATATGTATATTAACTGAAACCACTGACTTAAAAAAGTTGTAATACGTTGTCAAGTAAGCAATCATGCCAATTCTGGCTAGATTTACTGCTGTAAATATTAATATCGGGGCATTTTCCGGAAATGATAACGTATGGCGCACAAAATATCAATGATAACGTACGGCGCATTTTACTACTTGGTGGATTTCCATTTGTCCAATCAGCTGATAATGAATTATTTTTATGTAGGAAATGATAGATATCTGAAAAAAATGTTGGTCCGGTCAGAAATAATTAATTGAACAATGCTGTACTATCGGAAATAGCTGGAAAAATCTTTCTACCTGGTGGCATAATATATATTCGTTGTTAATATACCAATTAAAACACACGTGTATAGTTTGAGAATATTTTGTATAAAATGCAGAATGGGAAGAAAAGTCTCCACTTTAAGGAAACATTTGTGTGTTGTTGTCTTTACATTAAATTTCGCCAGTGTTGTGCGATAATTATTGTCTTATCCCCTAATTGGAAAGAAGAAACGCATTCAACAGAGCAAAAATGTAAAAAAGGTACGGACGGCTTGAAATATTTTCTTTTCCAAAGAAAAAGTCTAAAATCATTCCTAACGAATTTCTGATAAGGAAATCTTAATATCTGAACCCCTCAACATTTACAAAACGAAAATTGATTGCGACTAGCTTACACCCAGATGAGATGAGCCTGTGTTTATTCAATATGGTCGCTCATTGAAAGAAAAATACATAACAGAGAAAAATGAATGAATGTAGGTTCTATAATGAGTTTATTGAATGAGTTAGAAAATAATGTTATGCGAAAAACTTAATTGAATTTAGTAAATAAAAAAAATTCTGTTTATTAGACGGGCGGTTAATATTGAAACGCTACCATTTAGCGTGACGTTGTGAGATATAATTACGCGACATAGCCTCAGAGTTTTTTTATTATAGTAGACAGTAGACATTTTATTTTATTCCATTTGGCTTTAAAGCCAATGAGGACATAAAACATGCATAATAACGAACAGTTCATATAAACATGTAACCCTTCCCATTATGAGCATATTGTGAAAAATGGCCGTTTTTTATTGAAAAGCCTCCTGTTACAAGTTCAAACTGCTATGAAACTTTGAAAAATGTTTCAATACTAATCAAACTTGGCACAAATGTTGACAGGACCATTGCCTTTGTAACGACATGCTCAGTCTAAAATTTCCTGTTACCATGGCAACATGGGGACATCTCAAAATTGCCATTAATCACTATTTTGCCTTGAGTTTTTTCATCAAAATTTATTTCAAAGTGCTGCAACTCCTCAAGGGATTGAGATAGAGTCACAGGCTTTTCAGCGTTGGTTACACGTTACCTTATGATCGACCTGGGGTCATTTTTAGCCTCTCGCAGGTCCAAAATTTTCTTGGCGATGAGGGGGACTACCGCCCCTCTTCAAACCCCCAAAACAGAAGGGGGCACATCCCCCTTCTGGCAACCCCCTGATGTATCTTTTGGATGGGGGCGGCGCCGAAAAAGTGCTCACTTTTTTAGCAACGTTTCTCAAACGAAAACATGTGTTTGGGGTCCAAAAAGGACATTTTTTCACTGAGGCCTAAAATGGGGGTCGAAAGTGTGTTGTTTCGCGTATATATGAGGTAAAGGGGTAAATACCAACCGAAATTTTCTGAAGGAGTAACATTATGAATATTTTCAAAATTGATCTTTAAACCAGTAACTTATAGGTCTCTTGTATTTACATATACATACACACGTATACATGTACATACATACAAAAAGCATACATTACATGAACTATTAATGCAAAATTGTTGTATATAAATCGATTTTTAACACAGAAACGCAATTACCGTTGTTTATACATATATCCTAAAAAAATGAAGGTCCCTTCGCATCAATTGCGGATTTCATAATTGTAAATAAAAGGAACGTCATAAGTTGATCAAAACAATTACATGCAAGAATTTGCCTATCATATTCTGGCGTTTTTTTTCCACAAACGCCCCAACAAAAACAATAATTTCTTTAAAAAAAAGTATTGCAGGTATCAGCAATAAAAGAGTGACATTGGAATTTGCTTATTAATTTCTAGTGTTAATTATGAAGTT